GCCTCTCCTTATGTACCTTTCTGTTCTCAGGTCTTTGTCATCACAATAGTTGTCGACTCCGTAATCTCAGGGGCAAGTTTTAAGAATGGTATTTCGCCTGGGCGTGGTGGCTCACACCTGCAATCCCAGCACTTTGGGAGGCCAAGGCAGGCAGATCACCTGAGGTCGGGAGTCCGAGACTAGCCTGGCCAACATGGTGAAACCCCGTCTCCACTAAAAATACAAAAATTAGCCAGGCATGGTGGCAGGCACCTGTAGTCACAGCTACTTGGGAGGCTGAGGCAGGAGAATCGCTTGAACCTGGGAGGTGGGAGTTGCGGTGAGCCAAGATTGTGCCACTGCATTCCAGCCTGGGTGACAGAGTGAGACTCCATCTCAAAAAAATAAAAATAAATAAAAATGGTATTTGCAGGTTTTATTATGGGCAACTAAGGGAATTTTAAACAACACTCACTATTCATATTTCAATGTAAATTTAATGCAAAAATGTAAATGTAAATTTAATGTAAAAACAAGTGAGAAGGATGACCCCAGAATTTTAAAAATTGAATACATTTGGCATTAGGGGAAAAAAATCACTACATGTTTTTTTCCCCATGTAACCTTAGACCTGATTTGGCATTTTGGAACCACTGATCCTAATCAATCCTCTCATCCAATATCTGCCCAGCACCTTTTGTTAGGTGCTGGGATCTAAGAGTCAGCAAGACAGGCAAGTGTTTGACACCATGAATACTGACAGCTGTTGAGAACACAGACCTCTAATCCAATTCACGGGGTCAGAGCAAATTTCCCAGGACAACTGCCTTTTACATTAAAATCTGTGGGTCAGTAGGAGTTCTCCAAATATGGGAGTTTGGGAAAGAGAACTGACCTCCAGATAAGAAAACTAACATTCAGAGAGAGCAAATGCCTTTCCCAGTCATGCAGTAAAAGTTGGTGGCAGAACAAAAATGACAAACTGAGTTAAAATTTCTGTTTCTATTGCATGTGTTGCTTTGCTTTTCAGTGAGAATCCTTGAGCCCTGTATTAGCAACCTTGCTACTTCTTCAAGTGGCCAATTTAGGGGAGGATCCTAAATGCAGATTTACTGCTTTTCCTGCATCCACTACAGAAAAAACACCTTGAATCACACCTTTACTTGAATTCAGTTGAGTTCCAGTGACTACCACCTCTGTGTTTTGTCAACTGTGGGTTGAGTCCTTTCCTGAAAACACATCAGTGTAACTAAGAAGTCACTGCTGTTTCTTGGAGTTGGGTTGGAATAGTTGGAGTGGGAGCCAGGATGGTTGGAAAACAAACCACACATATTGCTGCTTCTGGAAGCTTTGTTCTTTAATGAGCCATAGGGTGATTTGTTCATCAAGCTGCTTTTGTGTAGCCATACAGTGCATATTTTGAGTGACACAAACTGCACTTTATACAGATGATGTCTTGTTACCCCTCAACCCCCCGCAAAGAAAAAAAACAAAAAGGAAATTACAAAGTGCCTGTTGATTGCATCCGGAATGTAATCAGTTCCGTGGGTGAGACAAATCATTCTTCTTATAGAATTATTCTATTAAACAGTAAAATGTTATATTTCACAGGATATGTCCTTTTATAATACAGTTCTTTAAAAATTTACACTCAGCATACTTATAAATTACTTAAAATCCATTAAATATAATACTAATCTGTAGTCCACACCTTTCCCATAGTAAATACAAATACTTGTGGTTCAAAAGGTGCAACTTTTATATGACCTCAGAGGGCTGATAAATAGGCATTAAGAATGGATGACTAGCAAGGTGACAGGCCCATTGTGGGGGCTTTTTTGAAAAAAGTTTCAACCAGGGGACCAATATGAGACCTAACAGATCCATCTCCACAATCATCATTTTGCTGTTACCCTTTCAATACCCAATTAAATGTGGGAGTCATTCCAGAGAAAAGTGTTTGTTAAAAGTAGTCTAGGGCACAAAAAGAGAGGACTCCCACAGATACCACGGAGTTTTACTACCAAGTCCAGCATGGTATTGGGGGACAGTGCTGGGGAGTTGTCACAAGAGTATGGGTGGACGTAACACATTTGTCCATACAGAATGATGCATGTCCCGCATCCAGCTTCCCACCAAGAAGAAAAAAGAGAGGAGGATGAGGAAAGCCATAGAGTATGTTTCTTTTTAAAATGAAAACTCTCTTAGCTTTGAACACATCCTGAGAATCCTTTCTTCTTTCTAGTTTACCAAAGTGCTTGTTACAGTTAAAAACACAGACCACAGGCACTGAGGTGGGACTATAGAACCCTGCTGGACCACATCTTTTCAGCACACTTCTGACCCTCTGTTTTTGTGACCCTCTGTTTTGGATGGTGAAAACAACTCTACCGTTATGAAACACAGAACGGAGTCTGCATTAATCTTCCAGCAGGATAAGTGCTCTGGCAGGTTTCCAAAGCAAGAGAAGATGGGGGCTCTAGTATTCCATCCCAGGACCTCTGGCCCTTTTGTCTCTCTCTGCAAGGCTCATAGTTGGAGGGCTGTATCTCCCTTTGTGTTTTCAGAAGCCCAGAGTGGCAAAATAATTTAAATGGCAGGAGGTACAAAATACGTTGTAAACTAAGCCTCCCTGAATCCTGCTGGATTTGCTGTTAATTTGCTTCAATTTGTGATACAGAATGAAATCACACTTCTCTGCTTTTGTTACATTTTCCATAATAAGTACATACTAAATTACAGGAATACATTCACTTTAATGGGCAGAGTTGAAAATTCAGGTTTTGTTTGGGGCTGGGAATGTGTGCTAGAAGTAGAGTGCTCTGCATTTTGGAGTATGGGCTCCAAATGTGGAGCTGCCCCACTGCTGCCATGCAGATCAAAGCAAACAAGCAAAGGAGAAGCACTACGGAACCACAAGTGTGATGCATACGAAGGGCTAACAGTTTCATAAGTGACTGTAACGCGGCATCACTTTGTGGTGACATAACTTTACCATGCAGAGGGCCAGTGAGAACAGATGGATGCAGACACAGCATTTGGTTCTGAAGGTTTTTAGGAGTTATGGCTTCATCTCTTGATCAGGCCAACAAGGCCTATTACCCTATGTAAACAACGGCTTTCCCTCAAAGGGAGGGCCCCACACTGCTCTCCACTCTTACAATTTTGTGGATCTCTCCTCCTCACCCACCCACCCCAATCCTGGCAGATTAAATGACTAGAAATCCACATAAATCTAGCAACTGAAAAAAACAAGTTTTTTCTTTTTTTCTTTTTTTAATTGAATTTTACCCAAATTGGAGTTTCAGGTCCCTGAGAAAAATTATAAAGTCTCTTAACATCCATCAGCTAGTTCCTATAAAGTGACTTACATCAGTCATTTTTTAACTGCCAAAAAACTTATTTTACCAAAAAAATCTCACAAAGATTTAGAAGGAAGAACATGTGCCAACATGTCTTCTCCTGGCCATTCCTCTGGGCCACAGGAAATTATCTGATAAGGGCAATCTCTTTTTTTTTTTAAATACAGGATTTAACCAACATTCTGGAGTAAGTGCAGAGTAACAATTAATGCCCAGCAGCACACTACTCCCCCAAGAACACTGAAACACAGACTGTGCAACCTGGCATGGGGCTAAGGAACCAGCAATCCCACTATGACACACCATGCTGAGGGGTTTTCCTCTGTCCTCTAGGAGATTCTCTGAAATTCAGATTTTTAAAAGCTTAACATTTAGTACTCCCCAGGACAAGACAAACAAGGTGGCAGATGTCTGTGGGATATAAAGCATAACATTTGCTCATTAACCATCATTATTCTGGAGATTTTAAAAGCTTCCTTTCTCTGGCTCAATTCTGAACCCAAAGCAGGGAGAGGTAAAACTCCTGCTACCTTTAGCTGCCACTCAGAATTATGCTCCAAGTCTAACCTCTGGGGCTGGCCAATAACCACTGAGGCAGTGGCATGAGGTTCAGTGTTGTGTAACAGGAGAGACTCTGCCTTAACAAAAGACTTAATATTTCCACAACTTCAAAGAAGTATGAAAAGGAAGAATAACCAAAATACAGGTTATAGATGGTAAAGGCTCTTTTTCAGAGCAGTGCATGTAGTAGCAAGACAAGATGCATTTAGTAACTTTAAAAATAAACATTTCACATACTTATCTCGAGAAAGGCTATCATGTTTCATTTTTCATATATTATAAATAGCAAAAACAGATTTCTATTCCCACAAATGCTAAGATACTTAAAATGTTATTACAACTCATGTGTATGAAGACCACCCAGTGGTGAAAATGATGTCTTACTATTCCCTCAACCCAGGGATGAATGGCTCTCATCCCCTTGTCCAGTGGCCCCTAATCTGTGGGAAGAAATTCCATGGGAAGGAGGGAAGCACAAGGTTAAAAAGAAATATGCCTACTATACATACATATTTACAATAAACTTCAGTAACCAGAATATTAACAAAAATAGCTTCAAGTAGTCCTTGATTTTTTTCCATCTATTTAATACTGATGGTCTGAGAAAAGGAAGATAAAAGTTAGATAGGTCATATTAAAAACCTTTTTATTTTTTGGCAGCTTTCTGTAACACTTATTCATGCAATATTGTATGTGAATATTTTTGGAGAACTAACTAAACGGTCACATTATTTGAGTCTGTGGTGGGAATCCACCAGCAGATGAACAGGCTCATATGTGGTTTTCGGTTTAATCTATACAAAGAGAAAAGCCTGAATGGCTTAGGATGGAACCTTCATAAGTTTAGGGATCACCATGTCTCTGGGAAACTAAAAATTAAAGTATAAGAATCTGATCCTAGGACCAGGAAATATGAGAACAGTATGGCTACTGACACTTCAGCCCATGCAATGTATTTGGCAGGAACTAAACAGGAGTCAAACCAGCACTGATTATTATGACATCAAACATCATCAAAAACAAAATAGGTATTCTCTTCTTCACCATATAACAAGATATCTGAGACACGCTCTGATGGCTTAATGGAAACAATCACTTTTTTTGCTTTCCCCAGAATATAACATGGAGTGTTTTTTCAGAAATCTTAAAATAGAGGGATTAGGCTTTTTGTTTATAAGTTTTTGGAAAAAAATTATATTCTACCCCAGCTCCTAACTATCCCAAAATAAACCCAAAGGCTTTTGCTTTCATAGTTAAGAAAGATTTATACGTTTTCTTCAAATGTCAGAAATGAGAGGGTCCCTCAGGTCAGCAATATCCCCCCTAGTTCAACACCCACCTTTGGGAAGGGAAAAGAGGGTGGGGGAGAGGCAACTATAACTGACCCAAATCCCCAGGCCCTAGGTGGCTTTGTTTAGTAAAATCTCAATTCAAATACAGCAGCCAAGGCACAGCTGGCACCATCCCCAGCAGGCTTTCTGCTTCTGCAGGAGGCCCAGGAATTCAGCACATACAGTCTTAGCCATATGCTTAGAAAAGAGGCAGGACCACAATTAGGATGGACTATTGTGGACGAGGTGATGAAACGCAGCCCCAAAGGTGAGATGTGTTTACCACTCTGTAGCCACGGAGGGACACACATCTGCCGGTTCAGACCATAAATTCATTATTTCCAAAGAGTGCTAGCTGTTGGTTGGAGGTGCAGTCTGGGTCCACAGTTTTTCTGCGGCCAGACATGACTGTTCCCTCTGGGGTCTCTTTGGTTTTCTGAGGTGAGTTTTTCACATTCTTTAATTTTTGTTTGCCCTTTTCTGGGTTGAAGGTTCCTCTGCTGATGAACTGAGGCCTGTCTTCCAGGGATTTGGTCTGGCCCAATGGTCCTTCCATTCCCAGGGCCTCATTAGCTGAGGCAGCTCGGTAGAATGGAGATTTGGAATAAATCTGAAATAGTTTTCTGGTCCCATGAGACGATGCCGTGTTAGACAGACATAAAGAGGAGACTGAAGAGTCCACTACATCTAAAGAGTCTTGCTGCTTTTTAAGCTGCTTTCGCAACTTGCTGGAAGGTTCAGACTTGCCAGCTGTCTTCAGGGAGCTAAGGGCTAAGCTTCTCTCTGAGGCAAAAAAGAGACCAAAGATGTAAATGACAGTGCCCTCTAAAGCAAATCATCATGTAATGAATAGGTGTCACTGTTCACACATGAAATTGGGTGGGATAAGATTTGGAGGTTCCAGGCTGACTTACTATGGGCACAGTCATAGTCAAAGAGAGCTCACCATCCATTTCTCTATATAGCAGTTCAGAATCATCCTCAAGGAAATCTGGTATTTGACTATGCCACCAGTGGAGGCCTAGAACAGTCACTATCATATTAAAAACTGCCGGGATATGTAGATAAGTTCTACATCTCCCTGAGACATGCCACCCAGTTAAACACCTCCTTTGTATATGTATATAGTGGGGCACAATTCCTGCCACGCTCAGAAAATGGGTCATGGGTCAGTAAGACAACATATATTGTGATTATTGGCTTTTCTCTGTGGTAAGTACAGGATAAAACATTAAATTACCAAACAAAACAAAACAAAACAAACAAAACTCAATCACACTAAAGAGTTGGTTTGATAAACAATGTATATGGAAGCTTTACAAAGACAACAGGAAAAAAAAGACCTTCCATGGAAGTCAGGAATCTAAGTAGCAAAGACAATTACATTTCTTATCCCCATCCAGATAGTGATAAGGACCTGTATGCCAAACGATGAAGGCTAAAACTATATGGATAAAAGGACAAAATTGGCCGGGCGCGGTGGCTCAAGCCTGTAATCCCAGCACTTTGGGAGGCCGAGATGGGTGGATCACGAGGTCAGGAGATCAAGACCATCCTGGCTAACACAGTGAAACCCCGTCTCTACTAAAAAATACAAAAAAACTAGCCGGGCGAGGTGGCGGGCGCCTGTAGTCCCAGCTACTCGGGAGGCTGAGGCAGGAGAATGGCCTGAACCCGGGAGGCGGAGCTTGCAGTGAGCTGAGATCCGGCCACTGCACTCCAGCAAGGGGGACAGAGTGAGACTCCGTCTCAAAAAAAAAAAAAAAAAAAAAAAAAAGGACAAAATTCCTCAGGACTTTGTTACTGCTGATGTATGGTCAGTGCATTCTTGAAAGACTTTGTCTTGGTTTCGGAATCTTTATTCCTCCTTTGCAAAACAAATCTGGCGTCTTTGGTCTACCATGTTCACTTACCTGATTTCTCAGAGATAGCACATTCAGACTCCATATTCAAATTTTCTGAGCTATCAGCAGTCCCAATGGAGGCCTCAGACTCAAGAGTTTCATCATCAGAGGCACGGGGTTCCAGTACAAGCATCTCAAATGTCAGCTCCTCCCTGTAAGATACAATCAAGAAACCATTAGCATATTTGATAGGAAGTGGAAGGAAGATAACAGAAAAAAAGATCCTCCATGAAAGTCAGGAATCTAAGAAGCAAAGAGAGTCCATTTTTACTGTCCCCATCCAGGTGGTGATGCCAAATATGGTGAATGCTAAAACTATATGGACTAAAGGATAAAATCATAGTCAATCTAGGACCAATAACAGGGGTAAGAGTAGGGTGAAGATGCTGTCGTGGTGAGATCTTTCAGTAAAATGAACTCTGGAGTGATAATCAGGAGATCAGGGCTCTAACCTTGTTCATAATATCCATAATGCATCAGGAAAGTACCTTTCTCTCTCTGGACCTCAGCTTCCTACCACAAAACAAAGAGATTAAATTAGATAACCTCTAAGATTCCTTCCAGCTCCTAAACTATTTTCCATGAAGCTTACTAACTGGCTGTGGACTATATCGTCTACCTTCACCACAGAGACCTCTAGATGAAGAAAAACACTGATTGATCTTTTCTGTCCTTTGAAGCTTATGCCATCTTTAGTTATCGCATTCTCTAGTCTTCCTTCTTCATCAGTCACCCAGCTGCCTCTCAGTAATGCCCCACATTCCGTGATGTCTTTGGTACTCAGCTCCTAACCTTGCTTTCTCACTAATGCTTGACATCACCTGATCTATTCAATTAATATCTTTGTAAAAATTCATCTCAATATCCTAACACTGAAGTTCTTTTATGTCTGCAACTTCTAACAATATTTTCCTCCACTTTTGCTAAGCTACTTTCTCCAATGGGCAGATGCTGGAGCTTGTCATTACCTGAATACACCAACTGTGAATCCAATATTCTGCCCTGTTCACAACCTCCTTATCCTTCCAATTCTTACTCACCTTCTAATCAAGTCTCTTCCCTAACAGAGCCCCTTACCTTTACTTCCACTTTACCTAGCTTGAGATCCATGAACAATCATTTCAAGAATAGTATCACCAGTATTACAATTGTCTGAGGTCATGTGCATTCTGAGACTGTGCTCGTTCTTCTTTCTTTTTCTAGGGACTCTCCCCTTACTTGAAAATTCCTATGAATCCTTCAAGACCGCTAACATCATCTGCATCAAAGCCGAATTGGGTCTTCTTTTCAGATCACTCTTCTAGCAAATAGCCCCTGGTCAATGTACATCATCTTTGCCTTATCATGTTTTTTACAGCTGAGCCCCAGCTGCTTTTTTAGCTGGCCTATATATATTCCAGAATCAATCATGAGAGACCAAAAAAGTACTTTAACAGTCTCATATCCCCTTATAAGTCAAACTCAAGACCTGTGATCCTGGAACTCAGGAATAAAGATCCCATTAAGACTTTCTAAGAGTCATCAATGTCGACCAGAACTATTACACAGCACCTTTAGGGAGAACCATGGCATGTTCATATTATCCCCAAGGCATAATGTCACCCAATCCCTGCAACAGTGATGAATGGAGGTAAAAGAGCTTCTTATTTGTCTCTCTCCTAAATTGCAATCAATTTCCCTATCCAGTATCCTAGCACTCTCTAGGGCTATAGCATTACTATGACCATCTAGTTGCTGTTCCCATGGCCATATGGATCTTTGGCTAATAACCTTCCTTCATGGATTTGTGAATGATGCCCATTCTTGAAAGGGACTTTGGCTTAGCCTAAGAATTATTACTCTTCTTTGCAAAATAAATCTGTTCGTGAAGGCTGGTCTCTGACCTGTTAGGACTCCAGTGCCTCATCTTGGCTCCCCACTGTTACTGCTAGATGAATCGTGACTAAGACTGACATGCCCTGTGGATACTGTGTCCTCCTCCCAGTCAGCCTCTCCAGACCATCACTGTAGCAGCCTCAGGTTTTCCAGCTCATGAAACTGGCTTCCCAGAGGGAACAACTTTCACACTGTTACCTGAGTACAGGCAACATGTCTTTGTCATTTCAACATCTCCTGTATCACCTGACACAGTGTTTAACACACAGGAGATAATAAATAAGAAAAAATAAATAAACGATAGAAGGAAGGAAATGAAAACAGACAATGACTGTCTCTCCCCTTCCTCCTGGATACTCACTTCTCCTTCTGTAGGTTCTCAATCTGCTCAGTCAGTACTCTCTCCTCCTGCTGCATAGCTGCTTGCTGCTGTTCTGTGATGTCAGTCTCCATGGCTGCCTCACTAGTCAAGGTCTCCTCTGAGACATCAGACACAGAAGGCAACCGAACTACAACAGGAGACGATGGACCTGGATAGTTTCCTCGACGAATACGCCCCTTTCCCTGCAGAGAAAAATTCACATTAGAAAGTAAATTGAGTGACTGCATCAGTTTCATGCAGATCTTTTAGGATAACAAGTGTACTTCCATCACACCAGGTGAATGGTAAGAACAAATGGAAACATTCTGCAAGGCCTAGGATATTTAGTGAGACATCATTCATCCAATACATTTAAGTTAAAATATTTCTTGCAAGAGTGCTGGAAAATGGATACTTCGGTAGGTGGGAGTGTAAGAAACCATTGTGTACTGAGATGAGATTCTTCTTTTAATATAAGCTGCATCCATTCCAAACAAAATAGCCACATCTGCATATTTTTTTAATTAATTAAAATTGAAGTAACATTTCAGTTCTGCAGTCACACTAGCCACATTTCAAGTGCTCAATAGCCACAAGTAGCTCGTGACCCCTACACCGACTGGTACACATATACATTTCCTATCATCATAGTAAGTTCTGATGGATAACAGTGCTCTATAACTTTAGCCTTGGAATGTACAATCTCTCTAGGAAGACCATAGAAGTATGTTCTAAAACTCAGTTTTGAAAAACAAAAACAAAATGTAGTCATTTATATAACACAGGGTGCTAGCGAGATATATTTTCTTAGAAACTTCTATTCTTGAGATTAGAGTGTGAAAATCTCATTGCTGCTTCTCCCTTTTTTTTTTTTTTTTCAAACATTGGTTACTTTATATGTGACTTTAGCTTCTGGTAGTGGCAAACTAAACTTTCCAAGTTAATCTCCTGCTAAGAAACATAAAAACTCAATATATGCTTGAAGGCATTGAAGAGCTAACCAGATAGATTTAAGGAGAGGCTAGTCCAGCATTTAGCGCTAATCTAAATGTCAGAGGTGGCTGTGACTCTAAACAGAGCTTTTGACGTGCTACAGCAGAGGATGGCAAACTATGGCCTGTGTGGCAAATCTAGCCTTGCACATATTTTGTAAATACAGCTTCATTGGAATACGTTCATCCTCATTAATTTACTTATTGTTTATTGCTGCTTTTTCAGAACAATGGCAGAGTTGATTGCTGAGACGGAGACTGGCCTACAAAGCCTAAAATATATTCTCTAGTCCTTTACAGAAAAAGTTTGCCATCATCTTGGGGTAGAGAATAAAAGTTGGAGCCAGACCCACTCAACGGTGTGAGTTGCTGCCTGGCAAAACCTCCGTGCCTGACACTGGGATCCCTAAGGTTTGTTTCTTAGACTAAGAGTAAACTGAAATTACAAAAGTCCTCGCAGATACTGTAGTCTAGCTTCAAGTCATCTGGATGGTCCAGAAAATTCTAATCCCTAAAAATGAATTAAAGTAATCTCAGATTGCTAATACTTCAGGACCAGGCAGAAAAAAATGAAAACATTCTGTGGAGGAAAGTAACATTATCCTAGGCCTCAAAATATTTTAAAAATAATGTTTCAAATACTCTGACAAATAATCAAAGGTAACAGGCACAAAAGGAGACAAGACAACGTAAACAAAAACTAGTAAAAATGACAGAAAACAGAAACCCTAAAAGACTCCAGATATGGTGGCTATGGGATTTAAAATAACCATGCTGAAGGAGATAGGAAGACATAGTTGAAGTAGTGGACTGGAAATTAGGTCAAAAGAAAAATCCTGAACCAAGCAGGAAGAAACGAAAGAATGGAAAAATTCACAAAAGAAAGTAAAAGAATGGCTGGGCGCAGTGGCTCACACCTGTAATCCCAGCACTTTGGGAGGCTGAGGCGGGCGGATCACCTGAGGTCAGGAGTTCAAGACCAGCCTAGCCAATGTGAAGAAACCCCATTTCCACTGAAAATACAAAAATTAGCTTGGCATGGTGGCATGCGCCTGTAGTCCCAGTACTCAGGATGCTGAGTTAAGGGAATTGCTTAAACTCGAGAGGCAGAGGTTGCAGTGAGCCAAGTTTACGTCACTGCACTCCAGCCTGGGCAAATATCAGGACAAGAGAGATCCTACAGAAGAAATATTGAAGAGATCATGGCAGAGCATTTTTTAAAAGCAGTTAAAGATATTAACCTAGGAATTTAAGAAAGCCTACAACCCCTAAGAAAGAGAAATGAAAAGAAGTCTATACCTAGACAAACTACTGTTAAAAACTAAAGGCCTAAGGTAAAAGAAAGACTTAAAAGCAGTTACAAAAAGCAAATTACTTGCAAAAAAGGAACAACTATTAGATTCAAAGTCTGTTTCTCAACAGAAATAATGGAATGCAGAAAACAATGGAATATTTTCATGGTATGAAAGGAAAAAGGAACTGCCAAGCTTAACTGTTATATATAGAAAATAATTTTCAGGAATGAAGGTGAAACAAAGACATTTCAGACAGACTATGGGGAGAATCTGACACCAGCAGACCTGCACTAAAGGAAATATTGAAGGGAAGATTGAAAATGTCTCAAGAAGAAAAGTTAGAGGTGTGAGAAATAATGAAAGGCAATGAAAAGTGAGTATGTCTAAACAGTGACTGCATAAAACACAATAACGATGTGTTGGATTTAAAACATACAGATAATTAAGATAAACAACAATAAGAGCAACAAAATCATATCATAGTAAGGCATACTAAAGCACCTGTATTATCTAGGAAAAAGATAAAACTACTAGTTAACAGACACTGATAGATCACAGATCTGTTTTCACCATTTGGTTAATACTAAAATAATAGTAAAAGTGTAAAACTTCCAAACAAACAAAAAAAATGGAATAAAAAAGTAGTCAAAAAATGCAAGAAAGAGCAAAAAAGGCAAGGAAGAAAAGAAAAAGGAACATATATCAGGTAGGACAAATAAAAAGCACATAAAAAGCAGATTTTAAACCCAAATATATTGGTGATTATATTAAATGTAAATAGATGAAATGCTCCTATTAAAATTTGAAGATTGTCAGGCCATATAAAAAAAGAGAAAACCTAACTATGTGATGTTTATAAAAGACATGTGAATTCAGAAAGGCTGAGAGTAAAGAAATGGGAAAAAAAAAAGACATACCATGCAAATACTAACCAAAATAAGGCTAGTACAGCTATGTTAACCACAAACAAAGTAAACTTTACGAAGTGTTACCTGTGATAAAGAGGGATACCTCACAATGACAAAGGTTCATATTATGAAGATAAAACATTTCCAAATATGTATGTACTTAAAAAATTGCTTCAAAAAAATTTAAAGTAAAATATTGACAGAAATACTTAAAGAAAAATAGACTATAATCAGTACTGACAGAACAAGTGTGCACATGCAATCAGAAATGATGTAAAACTGAACTTGATGTAAGCAATCTAACAGACATATATAGACTTCAGTATCTAACTACAGAATACTCACTTTAAAGCACACATAGCAAAACAACAAAATTCCAAGGGTTGAAATAATTTATCTGACCATTAAAGTAATTTAAAACAAGTTTTCTAATAATGCAGTTACAAAGAGAAAATTAAAAATTCTTGTACACTCAGAAATTAAGAAATAGACTTTAAAACAAACCATGGTCAAAGAGGAAATCACAATGGAAATTAGAAAATATTTTGAATGAAACAATATAAAAACCCATGTAAGCTCTGTCTACTTTAAAGTTATAGCCTTAAATACATACATTAGAAAAGAAGGAAAGATTCATAATTAAGGATGTAAGAATCTATTTCAGGAAACTAGATAAAGAACAACATAATAAATTCCTCCTGCAACAAAAGCAATAAAGAAAAGTGCAAACAAACATTAGAATGAAGACAATCAAAGTCAAATGTAGCTCTTTGAAGAGGCGAATAAAAATTTTAAAACTCTAGCAAGACTGAAAGAGAGAAGTCACAAATAACCAAAGGTGGGAATGAAAAACGGGACGTCACTACAAATCTTGTAGACCCAGAGGGTAAGAGACTACTAAAAACAACTTCATGTCAATAAGTATAAAATTTTAGACAAAGTGGAGAAATTTCTACAAAAATCTAATTAATACCATCAATGAAGAAATTAGAAATGTGAATAATATTAAAGAAATTGAATCCAGAATCAAAATCTTTCCAAAAACAAAAACTCTAGGCCTAGATTTCAGTGGCAGACAAGAAGAAATAACAAATTCTTCCACAGAATTAAAAATTATTCCCTAACTTGTCTTTAGAGTCAGGCGTAACTTTGATAACAAAACAAAACAAATACATTAAAAAGAAGGATTACTGCCAGGTGCAGTAGCACATGCTCACAATCCCAGAACTTTGGGAGGCTGAGGCAGGTGGATCGCTTGAGCTCAGGAGTTCAAGACCAGCCTTGGCAACATGGCAAAACCCCTTCTCTACAAAAAAATACAAAAATTAGCCAGGCGTGGTGGCACGTGCCTGTAGCCTCAGCTACATGGAAGACTGAGGCAGGAGCCCAGGAGGTTGAGGCTGCAGTGAGCCAAGATCATGCCAGTGCACTGTAGCCTGGGTGATAACAGTGAGAGCCTGTCTCAAAACAAACAAACAAAAACAAAAACAAAAAAGGATTATTATGGCTTAACTTTACTCATAAACACATGCAAAAATCCTAAACAATATCCTAACTATAACAGAATCAAGTAATATAGAAAATGTAATATAAAAATATTAAATATATGAAAAGTTGTATTTGTTGTAGTAGTATAATGATGGTTTAACATTAGAAATGGACTCTGTGTAATGTGTCAAATCAATGCAATAAAAAAGTCTGATAAAACCTCAATACATGCAGTAAAGGCATTTCATAAAATTCAACATTCTATCACAATAACAACTCTTAGAAAACCTGGAATAGAAGGGCACATACTTAATCTCATAAAGTACCTACAAAAATTCTATAGCAAACATCACACTTGGTGGTAAAAGGTTGAAAGCTTTTCCTTTAGGGCTGGGAGCATGCCAGTAATGATCACTATTACTACTTCCATTCAACACTATACTGCAGGTTCTAACACAAGAAAAAGAAAGAAAAGGTATAAGGATTATAAAAGAGCAAATGAAACTATCATTATTCATGA